ATTTCTGAAGAAAACTTCAACACAGCAGGTAACAGCCCAACTGCAGCATCACAGCACTAACACATTTGCAGGCACATGAAACCTGACGCAGCACCGGTTTGTAGAGTCCCAGTGCTGTCAGACACAACCACACAGTCAAGGCTTTACTTCACATAATCTGCATCGCATGCCACCAAGCTCTATAAGCCACCAAAAGCTTCCTTGCACGGTCTAACAAACTTGTAACCAAACACGAGTTTACAGAGGTGTGAAGTCCTGCAAGAGGAGGACAGGAAAACAGCAGATTGCTGAGGTATATTAAATCACCCGGGTGATCCTAGCAAGCATACCCAGCCCCTCAGAGAAAGGCAAAAGAAAGGCTAAATATTCCAGCCAATCTGACTGTACTGGCAGGGAGTGAGAGTGGACAAGCTCTGCCTAAGAATGGAGGAAGCAAGTTCCTTGCTGGTCCCTTTGAGAAACCAGTCAAAACTTTGAAATACAGTATGTCTGCAATGTGAGGAGGTTGCACACAAACTGCATTTCAGTCTTATGTCAGTCTCCTTCAGTTACACCACCATGCTGGTTATCCAAACACTTGCATTGCAGCTTCCCTGTTCCAGAAATTCACCAGTTTTAATCACAGAAATTCTTCTATGAATTATATTCAAGCTATTTCAGCTTTTTCCATCGCTATTATATGCAAAAAATATAACTCCAAGAGTAGTGAGAAACATTCTGCTAAAATCCACTTTATTCATAATCTTAGAACTATTGCTCTTATGCACTATTACCTTTTCAGTTAAACAGCTGTTCTTTGTCTTTAACACTCCTGAATATATTTCTGAGGAATCTTCCTGTCCCCTCTCAACCTTTGTTTGTCTAGGCTTAACAAACCACCTAATTTAATCTCTCTTAGGAGATTAATTTTCCATTCCTATAAGCGTACCGGTAGTCTTTCTCTTCTGTTTTAAGGTTATCTTTCATGAATATAAGTGACCAAAACTTTGTATAAATGAAGCCTTGTCACTGCTTTTAACAATGAAAAAACCATGGGTAGTGCATCTTACAATTATACTAGATTTTACAATTACCGTAGACTTTAAAAGTTGCTCTACAGGGCAACTGATAATCATAGAATCACAGAATAGTTAGGGTTGGAAAGGACCTTAAGATCATCAAGTTCCAACCCCCCTGTCATGGGCAGGGACACCTCACACTTCATGCAGGAAAACTATTATTTCCATATTTCCACTACCTTCAACTGATAAATACATATTATATTCAAGAAAAAACAATCTAGTTACTGATCCATAAATCTCTGCTTTTGCAATCTGTGCTAGTAAACTTCATCTCATTGCTTGCATTAGCAACATCATCTGATTTTCCTTTTCACAAAGGATGATCCAATCCTTTCTTAAGGTGATGCTTTCCCATTTTATGTTTTCTGTACAACTCCCAAATACACATGCACTTCTTACTCCTATATCTATCTCCTATATCACTAACCAATATGTTAAATGGTGATTGTTCCTGAGACCAACCATGAATACATTTGTGATAGTCTCTCCTTTTAGCTGTTCCTTGCTCTTCTCACAGTTCTCTTGTAAAAATAACTACTAACTTCAAGAATAAAGTACAATCCACTGTAATCATCTAAGAGATCTATTACCTAATTTAAAAAAATACTGGGTTTATCTAAGATGATCTACCATTGTGAAACCAATGTTGTAATCAACCTGTATTCAATTTCTCTTCATATTCTTTCCTTTAAAATGTGTTTTAAACCTGCATACTGCTGATATTGTTTTAAGTCTGTAGTTTCCTGGATCAATTTTGCTTCATTTTTTAGGTATAGATACTATATTGGATGTTTTCAATATTTGCATTGTAAAGACACATTTAAAACATTCTTGATACTAGGCTTGTAGTCAGTATAAAGACTGGATGTTGTCCAAATTCTCTGATTCTGAAGTATAGAAAATTTTTGCTTTTGCTTGGATATAATTTCTGTTACTTTATCCTCATTTTCTTTAGATACCTTTTGTTGTTGTAGATTGAAACTGTTCAAAACAACCGTGCGGCTCTAGAAACTCTTCAACTTCAGAAGGCTTTTTGAATGTATCATTGAGTTTGTAATATTCAATAGAGTAATAAAAAAAAAAAAAACCTTTGTGTCACTACACTTCAAGCTGCTCTTGCAGAGAGAGATTGGGAAATTTGGAAACCTTAGAATCATCACTTAAGAAGGCAAGAAAAAAATTTAATCTCCAGAACTGGGTCTATTACAATTCAGAGACTTACAAACATGAAAAATTCAAATGATGGAACACCTCCTGATCTCATGGCCTTAGAGAAACCACCAAATGACAAGTGTCCAGGCAAGGCAACAGCTTGAACCTGGGACTGAATTTGGAAAGAAAGAAGATTTGTGAGGGATAGGAATGGGTAAGTGATCTGACATTATTCTCCTTAATTACCACCTTTACTGAAAGGTGATATTTATACAACACTTGATCCAGTCCTTGGTTAGCCTTATCTCTTTTCTTGACACCTCACCATCAGCGTATAGAAGAACCAGTTCCTCCCAGTTTTTCTTTACATGATTAACAAGCTTCAGACATTTATTTTCTTCACTAATCCAGAAAGACTTGAGTACAATTTGATTTCTTTTCTATAGATGCTGACATTTTGAAGATGAACAAACATTTTAAAGAATTTACAAACAATAAACTCTTTGTTTGTCCCAAGAATTCTACACTCTTCCCTCTAGGTTTTCCACTTAACAACATTATTGCCTCTTTGAATTAAAGTAATTCCATGTCTGGTAATGATCGTCAGTGTATGAATTTTCAGTCTATTGAATCCAAGTCCTCATCCTATTAACTGACATTCCTATGTATCCCTAACTTGCCTTTCTAAAACCCCAAGCTTTGATATGTCCTTTATTATTGCAGTAGTTAAGCATCTCACAACCACTGATAAATCTACTTTTTGAAATCCTTTGTAACAGATGAAAGCACTATCACTATTTTACAGAAAAATGATAAGGTAAATTGGTTGCCTGTGAGATCCATGGCCGAAGTAAGAAACAAACTCTATACCTAAAAGCATCATACGTGTTATAATTCTTATTCAAATTGATATGAACATGGGCTAAAGACATTCATATCACAACAGTAATCAAATAAATATGAACACAAAAATAAATACAGTAAATATGAGCACAACAGTAGTCATCTAAATATGAAATATAAACTTTAACCTACTAAGCTTCTCTTAATAGTACTCCACCCATTATTTCACAGTACATATTTCTCTTGATTCTCTGTGCCTCTTTAACAAATACCATTTTTACCTGCTTACGCAATCTGGAATGACTTGAGACTTCAGGGTGAATGCTAAGTGCTTCAAAAAGCACGTATGTTCAAATCAGAACATGGTATAAATGAAAGCATGTTGATACTGTTGCTGATGTATTTTGTTTCTGCCTCTATTGCTTGCATAATATCAGTGCTTGGGCTCCCCTCAGTTCTTTGGAAGGTATAGTCCCTTAGGGCCATAGAGATAACAACAGCAAACCCAAACCACCTGGAGACAGTATTTAGTAGATGATTAACCCAATGGTGAATCAGAATGTTTGAAACAAAAACAAGAAAACAGCAGGAAATAACTTGCACTATGTGGCTGGAAACTACAGTGAAATCCCAGCCCCATCAAAGTTAATGCTTAATGCAGAAATTCATTCTTAATATTTATGATCTTTCCTGAATAGTTCTAATGTCATTTATTTTATTTATGACAAATTTGAGATGAAAAAATGATATGCAACTATGTATCAGTTAACATAATAGTCATGCCCATACCTGTTTTCCTTCTGTGTGCTCACATTTGCTGGAAATTTATAAAGATTCTTTTTTGTGATAATAGGAATGAGAAACCTGTAGAAACTTACCTCTTCTTCCTTTAATGCTGACTCAAGGTTGGGGTTTGGTTGTTTGGGTTGTTTTTGAATAGCAATACAATCAGAATGAATACAATCAGAACAACCGTGGTGGGAGAACAATGAAATTATTCATTATGGCTTTATTTATTGCAAAAGCATCAAAAAAAGAAACCAGTGTCAATCAAGTCTTAATATCTGTTGCTAGGAGAATAAATTAGGAGAAGCTTACAGCACTCAAGCTCCAAGGATATTCCCCTGGTGTAGACACAGAGAGCATGCTCAGTAGAATCCACCTGGCTTCATCAGAGCTGGCAATCTTTCATATCACCATCAGGGAATCATTTGGATCAGGTTTCTGCTATTTCAGCTGAGGGCATGGTTGAGGTAGGGTGGAAGGTCAGAGTCTGAGTGGGCTCATGAATCATAGCTAAATATTCTCAGTGGGTGCCAACTTTTAAGAGCCCTGGTGAGCCGCCGTGAACAGCACCCATAGAGCTGGAGTCTCCATTGAGCAGGGTCCCAGATAATTTTTTCATTTGTGTGTTTGTGATATTTTCTTATCTGTGTTTAATGTTATTTATGCTGGTAAAGTTATGTATTTAAAGGAAACCTGAGGTTTTGAGGGGAAATTGTGTCTTTGGATTTTTTTAGAAGAGGCAAGTACATAACACCCATAGGAGGAGTCCTATACAGGGGAGAAAAGTGAGAGGAAGTAATGTGGGAACTTTCAGTATTCTCCATTATCTTGATAATATGGGGGTTGTCAAGCCTGAAGTGAAGAACCCATCAGTCTCTTTCTGAGCACAGTCTTAAATTGAAGCACAATTGTGCTTCACTGGGAAGTCACTGGGACTACTCATGATGATCCACATAAATTAGGCATGTGCCTAAATGTGATGTAGGACTACAAAAATTCCATTTAGAAAATACCAGGAGGTTTTTGAGGATGTTAAATGAAATCTTTGTGGATTTTTTTTTTATTATTATTATTTTTTTTATGAAGTCACTGTGCTGCTTCTGGACCATTATAAAGCTTTCTGGATTGGAGGTCTCTGGAAAACTCCGGGGGGAAAAATACCCCTTCAAGGCAGCGGCATACTAGGTAATGTCAAATGAAAAACAAACAAACAAAAACCTCCAGTAAAAAAAAAAAAAAAAACAAACCAAACCACATTTCTCCCCATTTCAAGGGAGATATTTTTTTTTTACTGAAACTATTAAATAAATATGCTTGTATTTTACAAGTGTGCTTGCTGCAAAAAGTGCAATCTATTTGTACAGCAGAGAATGAAGGACTTACTGCTTAAAGGCACAAAAAGGGTGTGTAATAGGATTCTGGCATCTTCCCAGACAGCTTGCAGACAAATGCAGAGATTAACAGAGAAGTATCCTTTTTGAAGTATATTTGGCCAAGGTCTCATTCACAAACAGATAAAACCAACACATTTCTGCATGATAAGGGTCAACAGAATAGCGTATTAGTTTGAGAAGAGAACCCATCTGCAATTTTCTTATATAAAAATATACGAGGACACAACAGGAAAGCTGTCAGCATGACAGTTGGAGGATTCTGCCAAGGAGCCAGATGCTAGTGTCAGAAGAACATGTTCCACAGCTTGGCATCTGGGTTCTCTCATTGCCCTCCAAGAAGGAAGAAAAGGAGGAGTGATAAGATATGCCTAAATGAATAAAACTACAAGCAATTCCACCACCACCCCCAACATGCTCAAATCACTACTTCTTTTAGAAAATCCTCAGCTACATGTTCTCCTACATCTTTTAAATCAAAATGGAAGGTGATAAATTTAACCCACTTATGTTTTAGTATGTTTAAAAAGTATTTGCAGTTCTGAATACATGTCTTACATGATTTTAACTGCCCATGTGTGTCACTGCAATTTATTTTATTATTTCTTGTTGGCTTTCCATAATTTTGCTACAGAATAAATTTCAAGCTCAGTTTTTAGCCCATGTCATTCTTGGGGAGGGGGAGGATATAATACTGCATTTACAGTTAAGACATAAGAATAATTACAACTTTATTCTTTCCCTGAATAGTTACTAACTGGGAAAAGCTCAGAAATATCAAGGGCAAAATGCTAAGGGTCAGTTTAGGACTCAACAAGTTCATGAAGCACCATAAGGAATCACCTTATTATGGGATGTGTGTAGTGGAAAAAACACTGGTCTTAAGATACCTTTGAGAAAGCCATAGTTGCTACAGGCCCCTTAATTATTCTGATCATAGAGTAGCAATGCTAAGGGTATGTTTGTAGTCCCAGGTCCTTTTGTCATATCCCCTTGTTATGGCAATTAAGTAAGTCTTACCTTTGTATCCTTGTTCCTTTCCTGAGACTATCACCATGATGCCTGAAAATTGCAGCCTTCCTCAATTCTCAGGATATCTGTCTTTCTTCTGAAGACCAGTTCTGACTAGGGAGGAGGGAGTGGTACCATCCAGTAAGTTGGTTAGATCCCATGTGTAAAGCTTTAAAAATGAAGCCCAAACTCCTGAAGTTTTTGCAATCTCTGCAAAAACAGACCAGAAGACAGAAATCATGTACTCTCACCTGTCCTGAAAAATAAACTGGCTGCTGTCAGCTGACGGACATTTTTTAAAGTTAGACATTTCAGAATTACAAGTACCATTTGCCCTTAATACCTTACTCTGCATAGATATGTTGTAGCCACCACTTGTATCGATCTTCTAGAGGGCATGGGACTGGTTTCCACCTAGGACTATTCCTAATTCAGACAAAACAGCAGATGATTGATCTCTCTCAGCACTTGCTAAGCACTTTAAGTCACCTCGAGTACCAGTCCGTCCCCAAAATGCAGGGGGAATGAGGCATAAATGCTGTAATTTACAAGAAGTTTTATTTCTTCTCTATGCAATAATGTCTAGCATAGTTGCGGTATTTGTTATCAAAAAATGATCACAGACTCATAGAATAGTTAGGGTTGGAAAGGACCTTAAGATCACCAAGTTCCAACTCCCCTGCCATGGGCAGGAACAGCTCACACTAAACCATGTCACCCAAGGCTCTGTCCAACCCAGCCTTGAACACCGCCAGGGATGGAGCATTCACAACGTCCCTGGACAACCCATTCCAGTGCCTCACCACCCTTAAAGACTTTCTTCCTTATATCCAACCTAAATTTCCCCTGTTTAAGTTTTAACCCATCACCCCTTGTCCTGTCACCCCCAAGTTCTTCTCCACAGGGCTGCTCTGAATCTCTTCTCTGCCCAACCTGTAGCTGTGCCTGGGATTGCTCCGACCCAGGTGTAGGACCTTGCACTTGGCATAGTTAAACTTCATGAGGTTGGCATCAGCCCACCTCACAAGTGTGTCAAGGTCCCTCTGGATGGCATTCCTTCCCTCCAGTGTATCAACCTCACCACTTGGTGTCATCAGCAAACTTGCTGAGGGCACACTCAATCCCACTGTCCATGTCACCAACAAAGATGCTGAACAAGACCGGGTCCCAACACCAATCCCTGAGGGACAGCACCAATTACTGGTCTCCAGCCGGACATTGAGCCATTGACCACAACTTTTTGCGTGCAGCCATCCAGCCAGTTCTTTACCCACTGAATGGTCCATCTATTAAATTGATGTCTCTCTAATTTAGAGACAAGGTTGTCATGTGGTACAGTGTTGAACGCTTTGCAGAAATCCAGGTAGATGACATCTACTGCTCTACCCCCGTCCACCAGTTACATAGCCCCATCATAGAAGGCCACCAAATTGGTCAGGCAGGATTTCCCCTTAGTGAGAGCCAGCACGGCTTTACTAAGGGGAAATCCTGCCTGACCAATTTGGTGGCCTTCTACGAAGTGAAGCCAGGCTGGCTCTCACTAAGCAGCATTTCTTTTTTTCATGTGCCTTAGTATGCCTTCCAGGAAAATCTGCTCCAAGATTTTGCCAGGCACAGAGGTGAGACTGACTGGTCTGTAATTCCCTGGGTCATCCATTTTCCCCTTCTTGAAAATGGGGGTTATATTTCCTTTTTTCCAGTCACTGGTAACTTCAACTGGCTGCCATGACTTTTCAAATATGATGGACAGTGGCTTAGCAACTTCATTTGCCAGCTCCTTCAGGACACACGGATGGTTCAGGTCCTTAAGATGGTCTCGAACCAGATCCTCTCCTACAGTGGGCCCAAGGTCTTCATTCTCACAGTCCCTGCATCTGCCTTCCAAGACTTGGGTGGTGTGGTCAGAGCATGTGCCAGTGAAGACTGAGGCAAAGAAGTCATTAAGAATCTCAGCTTTCTCCAAGTCCATGGTAGCCAGTTCTCCTGATAGCTTCTGGAGAGGTCTCACGTTGTCCCTAGTCTGTCTTTTATTTGCAATGTACCAACAGAATCCTTTGCTGTTATCCTTAACATCCCTAGCCAAGTTTAATTCTAACTGGGCCTTAGCTTTCCTAACCTGGACCCTAGCTTCCCAGACAACATCCCTGTCTTCTTCCCAGGCCGCCTGTCCTTGCTTCCACCTTTTATAACCCACTTTTTTTGTTCAAAGTTTCCTCAGCAGCTCCTTATCCATCCAAGGTCTCCTGGCCCTCCTGCTGCACTTCCTTCTAGTTGGGATGCAACACTTCTGAGCTTGTAGTAGGTGGTCCTTGAATATCAACCAACAGTCTTGGGGCCCCCTGCCCTTTAGGGCTATATCCCATGGAACCTTACTAAGCAGGTTCCCGAAGAGGTCAAAGTTCGCTCTCTTGAAGTTCAGGGCAGTGAGTTTGAGGATCTCAAACTCAACCATCTCATGCTCACTAGAACCAAGACTGCCCTGGAGCGTCACATTTCCAACGAGCACAAGGTGAGCACAAGGTCAAGCATGGCAAGTCTCCTGGTCAGCTCCTCTATTACTTGCAGAAGGAAGTTGTCTTCCACACAATCAAGGAACCTCCTGGATTGCTTGTGCCAGGCTGTACCGTCCTTCAACGGATATCAGGGTGGTTGAAGTCCCCCCAGAGAACAAGGGCCTGTGAGGGTGAGGCTTTTCCTATCTGTCTGTAGAGTGCTTCATCCACAGATTCCTCTTGATCAGGTGGTGTGTAACAGATCCCCACAGTAATGTCTCCCATCACTACTCTCCCTTTGACCCTGACCCACAAACTCTCTGCTGACTGCTCACCTGTCTCCAGACAGATTTCCATACTCTCCAGCCTATCCCCAACATAAATAGCTACTCCCCCTCCCTGCATCCTGGGCCTGTCTTTTCTAAAGAGCCTGTGACCTTCCATTCCAACACTCCAGTCATAGGAGCCATCCCACCATGTTTTCTGATGCCTATTATATCATACCCCATATGGCATCTGAGCAGAGCTCCAAATGAAGCCAGCACATTCATTGACTGGAGCAGCTGGAATCTCTCTGCATTGTTCCAAGCATTTATTATAGGTGCTGGCAACTGACTGGGAGTGCTGGGATTGAATGATGCCCCCCTCCCCCAACACATCTACTTTAAAGCATCCTTGACCAGTCTGGCAAGCCTCCTACCAAACCAGCTCCAACAGCCCCCAGTAGACCTGGCCTACAAACTTGGGTCCCGTGTTCAAGACACCCAAACCCCTGACTATGGCACCACCCTTCTAAACATTTATTAACCTGTCCAACACTCCTAGCCTTTTTAAGGTCCTCCCCCTGTATCCTGGAGAATAGATGAGAAGACAATCTGCGCTCCAGAGCCCTTATCCACCTCTCCCAGGGCTCTGTAGTCCTTCTTTATGTTCTCCAGACTACTGCTGCCTATGTCCCTAGCACCTACATGGATCACTAGAAGTGGGTAATAGTCAGTGAGGCTTACTAGGGCAGGCAGCCTCTCTGCCACATCCCTGATCTTTGCCCCTGGTAGGCAACACACCTCCCTTGAGACCTGGTCAGGCCTACAGACGAGTGCTTCTGTCCCTTTCAAAGTAGAGTCCCCTACTACTACGACCCGCTGCTTCTTCCTGGCAGCACCAGTAGAGATCTTTACCAGTGCACCAGCCGGTTCTTTTGGTGCGAGCGCTCCTCAGCCCCTGCAGGCCAGCAAAGCGGTTCTGGGTGGGGGAACAGATTTAGGAGGAAGCCCCTTGCTGTTAATTGCCCTCTTCCGCCCCCCCTTCCCCTTTTGTGGTGTTTTTTTTTTGTTTGCTTGTTTTGTTTTGTTACTGTTTCCCAGATTCCTGGGTAAACAGCCTCTTTCTTTCCTCCATGACCTACAGAGGACGCTTGAGGTCCCTGCACAGTTTGGGCCTAGAGCAAGCAGTCCCGTTTCTTTTCAGCCTCCCTGACATCCAGCAGCCTATTGGCAGCGACCCGCAGCTCAGCCCCTGCTGCAGGAGGGCCTCCACCAGGGAGCACCGGGTGCAGCCCTGCCCATTGTGCACCCTCCCCTCACCAGACCAGTGCAGGCACTCTCTGCACTGCAACCTCCCCTCTCATCGGCTCTGTCTGGGTGCCTACGCTGGCCAGCGCCGGGGCAGCCAGAGCAGAGCTCCCAGGCCAGGCCCCGGTCATAAGGCGAGTGCTCACCATCCCTTTCGAACTGCCGCCCAAACTGCCTCAATCCGCCTTGTTCGCTGTGCTTCCTGAGACAGGTTCTTAACCACTCAGGGTTGGTACGGCTACTTCTGGCTCCGCCCCCTGTGAGTCCCTGGTCAGCTGAGCTGCAACCCCCCCGCCCGGGCGAGTCGTCCTGTCGACGACTTGAGGCTCTCTCGGTGGCTCCTGGACGCTGAGCTTCCCCCAACTCAGGTGTTGAAGGCGTCATCTCTCGAGCTGCTCACCTCAGCAACTGACCTCAATGACTGAGCCTTTCCAGGTACCACCAGCACAGCACCTACAAAAATGATGCCTGGAAATGCTTTTTCAGCAACAGAGGGGAATTCAGAAGATAGTACTGCAAGTTCCATCCCAAGTTCTCTTGTTGTTAGCAAACTGCTGGAAGAGTCTGTTATAATTCACAGCAGGAACAGAAGAAGGAAAGCAAGCTATAACCACTACTGTATTATCTACCCTTTGGATGTATGATAAACTATGCACTTAGGATAAAAACTTAGGGTGCTTGACCCCAAAATTAAAGACAGTGCTATTCATATAAACATAGTCAAATAATTCTTTAAAACTGAAGCCTACATCTGAAAAGCGAATTTCTGTATTTGTTCTGCCCAAGTGACTTCACGAACACATTTGCTTAGTTCAGAAATCAGAAGGTGATTTTAGTCACTGTCTACTTTAAAATCCATTTGGGATCTGAACATCAAACTTCTTGCTGTCTTTTCCATCAGCACGGGCAGTGAGGTGTCTGCTGTTAGAACCCCTCTGACAATGGGATGTGGGATATGAGGTGAAAGCGCTCAATATTCTGTGGCGGACTTTGCCTCCTCATAGCTTGCAACACAGTAAGAAAACTTACTTTCAATCAAGTCAGTGGATACTGTACAAAGGCACATATGGGAAACAGATGAGGAAAAGGTCCATTTCTGCACTGATACTTCCTATTTTAATTTAATTTTCTGGTCCAAATTTGGGCT